AGCAGATTTAAACCGTACTGGCACAATATTCTAAAAAAGTGTAATGCTGCTTGCGTATTCCGACGATATTGATATCATTGGTCTGAACACCCGCGTCGTCAGTGCGGCATTTTCCAACTTAGAAAAACAAGCAAAGCAAATGGGTCTTGTGGTAAATTAGGACAAAATAAAGTACTTTCTGTCAACAAACAAATCTCCTGAGCGTCTTGGGACCTACGTCACTGTTGACAATTATAAGTTCGAAGTTGTGAAAGACTTCGTTTATTTAGGAACCAGCTTAAACACCAAAAATGACGTCAGCCTAGAGATTCAACGAAGAATTACTCTTGCCAACAAATGTTACTTCGGGCTAAGTAAGCAATTGAGAAATAAAGCCCTCTCTCGACAAACAAAAATCACGCTCTACAAATCCCTTATCATGCCTGTCCTGCTGTATGGTGCAGAAGCTTGGACAATTACCAACAGTAATGAGAAGGCGTTAGGAGCATTCGAGAGAAAAATTCTTCGGAAGATCTATGGTCCCTTACGCGTTGGCGACGAGTATCGAATAAAATGGAACGATGAGCTGTATGAGCTATACCGCGACATTAACATAGTTAAGCGCATAAAAATTCAGCGGCTACGCTGGCTTGGTCATGTCGTGCGAATGGAAGAAAGTGCTCCGGCTAGAAAGGTATTTGATTCGGTACCCGCAGGTGGAAAACGCGGTAGAGGACGTCCGCATCTTCGGTGGAAGGACCAGGTGACCAACGATTTGGGGGCGCTCGGTACTACCAACTGGCGTCAGAAGGCAACTAATCGGGCTGACTGGCGGAGGCTACTCGACGCGGCCAAGGACGACACACGTCTGTAATGGCCAACTAAGTAAGTAAGTATATTCAATTTTAACACAATATATTTTAGTTTTATGAATATTGATACTAGTCTATATGAGTTATTAAGAAATATATTTAGTAACGTGAAACATTCTATTAATATAACAACTTCTAATTACGAATAGAGTATGATGATTTATATAGTCGATCTTAAAATTTTTTTAATAAATGTTATCATTGAAGGACATCATTAAAAAGAGCAACGCTGCTAACTTACACTAACTGAACATACAGTATTTAAGTCTTCGAATAAAGTGCAAATTGTCACATGAAAAAAAATATTCTAATGTCTACAGAAACTTGCGACCTAGCGGTCTTATCTGTCAACTTGCATAGCCAACATTCCTTAGCTCCTTAGCTAGCTATGTGGTTATACAGTCCATGGTTAGACGTCAAATAATCTGTCAACAATCTCAGCGCTGTTCTAATAAATTGGACTTTCTTCGAATTCCTAAAGACAAAAAAACTTATCCTTACGATTACCAGAGAAATGAAAACAGTAAATAGTATCTTTCTAAAGTCTTTATCGAATTTTGTATCAAAAACCTACTTTGAAAGCCACTAATTTCACGATAAGACGATAGTTCCTTGTTGAACTGTTAGTGATCTATTTGACATTTAGTGCGGTGTAAGCAGCCTTCCAGCAAATCACTAGAAATAATATATATAAATGATATAAATAATATAAATGATATAAATAATAATATAACATATGTATATTAAAAAAAAATATATTTCGAAATCATTTTGAACTGAATTATTTTGCATTATTCATAATTTCGAAATTTTTCAATAACTTAATGAATCTTTATATCGATGCTATGTGCGAAGTATATTTTTCTCATAAGTCATTATAGCATAAAATAGCGCTATAAGCTTCAAATCTACATTTTATATATATTTTCGTATAAAGCAAATTCCTTTAAGTATATATAATAAATTTATATTCATATATTTTTTATTTTTAAGAATGTGTTCATTCATTCAGCTGTCCGTACGTAACTAAGAAGAGAACATTTTTTAATCAAAACTTTAAATTTATTTCAGTGCATATCCGTAAATGTCCATGTATTTCAATGGCATTATTTAAGAAAATATTGAAAAGTAATGTTTGTAAAAGAATGAATAAGTCATTTTTAAAATGACCTCCCATGAGAATAATAGTTTCAGTAAAACTTCGAGAGCTGAAATAGGCACAAGCATTTAGAACTTTCCAAGGAAAAAATCAAAAAGGACTATTGACATCTGATTGTGTAAATCTACAGAAGTGTTTTCTCGTAGTCCCTTTGCAACAAAAACCAATAAAAAAAAGTGAATTTGTTTTAATGTGTTTTCAATTTGCATGAAATTCCCATTTCTCTTCATGGTGAAGTCAACAAAAATGGAGGAAAATAATTTCAATGCAAAATATCGTTAAGTTTCACACCAACTCAGGTGAAACTTAGAATTTAATAGATTAAAGTGACAAAAAAAAATATGTTTCCGATTTTTATCACTTTTTAATAGAAAGGCAATATTGTTTAGAAACTCGTCAATCTTTTTATTAAATTCGAAAATGGTTTACTGTACTTTGGTCTACAGTTTATCCCACTTTCAGATAATCAAAATAAAAATAAATTTTTAAGACCGTACCATATAACTTTTATCGGATAAGTCCTTATATTAAATCCCGCAAGAGTTTAAAAGTAACACAATTTTTTTAGCTCGAAGCGAAAAAAAAAACACCTTTTAAGTTCTACACTTCCCTTCTCTAAAATTAAAGAACAAATATATTTAAAAAAAAATGAGGGCAGCAATTGCAAATGTCAGAAAACATTATTATTTACTTTAATGCATTTTCAGGAATATTTATGCAAATTATTCAAAAAGATACGAACTAAGGAATAGCAACATTATTTGCACAAATATAATATTTGTCCGTACGCACTCGCATTCAGCAATCTTTTCCAAGTTCAGACCCATGTACGTGACACTAAGAAGTCCCACTGACCATTTTGCAGGCACACAAAATTTTTCCATGCACTGGCAGTGGGAGCATAGCGCACACTAACAAATGATATGCAATAAAGTAGGTTACATTACCAGAGCATCACAAAATCACAACATCTCTAAATACGCTTCCAAAACGTGACTTAAAATACTAATTCCGAATGTAATGCAAAACGAATCCGACTAAGTGCGGCTTTAGGTACTTTAAGGGATTTTCGTACATCGCACACAACGCAAACTGCCAGAATCTTCCTCCACGTCCTATTAGTAGCCACGATACATTCACTGACTAAGGAAGTAATTCGGCTAATATTTCGTTTGCCAAATTAAAATAAATTGTGAATATTGATATAGCAATGGAGCAATAGAGCCTATTAAATTAATGTACGGGTAGTTCAGAAACGAACGGTGAATTTGTAGTATGGTTTAATATACCGAAAAAACAGTGAGATATTAGTGAGTTAGCATTTACGGTAAATACTATCTATCAAAAAGTATTCCTTAACACCAACGACTGAAATCTTTTTTCCTATTTTATTAAAAATGTAAATATTAAGTAAAATAGGATAATATTTTTCATTGAAACTAACTTCTTCGGGAACTGAAATTTAAATTAAGTTTAAAATTTGTTACAATGTCAACCCATTTGCAACTAAATTAAATTATTTTAAAACTTTAGTTAAAATTGAAATCTCTCATAAATACTTTAATTAAACAGATTAATAGAAAATAAAAATATCTTCACTATATAAATGAACTTTCTTTCTGTACAGGGATAAGCGATTGAAGTGTTACCAACTACAGTCAAACTGATATTGCCAACTACGAAAATACCTACGAATAACAGCTGTTTATATTGTTTACAAGCTACCGTAAGCATTTGTGTTTAATTTTAATAGAACAAAAACTATTCGAAATAGAATTCAAACGTAATATGTAGTGGGATTGCGTTATATTTAACTAAAAAACCAGCTATTTTTTGTAGGCTGAAATATCTCAAATTGAATAAAATATTTGTGTATCGTATCATAAATATTTATAATAGTATAGACAGCTTGGCTAAACGCTATGTTCTCTGATGAGAAAAATTTCTCAATTGCACGGTTGATAAATTCTCAAAATGATCGTATTTACTTAATTAAATGCACTGCCGAAAATTTTGAGACTACGAATGGCCACCCGAAGTAATTTTCCATCTCAAATAATTGTATGGGCAGCTTTAACCGACGATGGACGCTCTTCAATCGCTTTTAATAGTGCACGACGGACTTAAATATAACTCGTCTTAAAAATAATCTGAGTTATCATCATCAGATTGGTTTTCCTTTACCTAATGGGGGAGTCGTTACTTTTTACAGCGTTACCTGTATACTGATTTAAATCTATGTACGTACCAATGCTACTCCTGTGGTACCACAATGGACCATTATTTATGCTCAACATGCCTACCTACCTATCATCATCTCCATCATCGCAGTACATTTTTTCTTACTTATATGATATGATATGATATGACAAAGATCGTAAGCTTTTCGTCGAATCCATCGCAATGGATCCATTACAACAAATAAGTGCAATTTAGAAAACAATTAAATTTCAATGGATTGTAAAGAGATGTAAATAATAGATACTATGAGTACTGACACTAGTTAAACCGGTTATTAAGTACTAAAAACAGATCTTTAAATTTTCGACTTTTGAAAATATTTTTGTATGTTCTTCCTTAGAAAATGTATCGCAAAAGAGGTGTTTTAAAGCTAAGTTACCCGGATATCTTCCGATCTCTCGTACGAAATAATTTTCCACTATGAAGCAGGCATAAGAAATCTGAACTAAATTAAAAGAACAGAGACAAGTAAATGGAATATCATTTAAGCTAAATAATTTGCTAAAAATCTGTGAAAGGTACTATGTGAATCAATATTCTTATAAGGTACACATATATTTATATTAAATTCAAAATATGTATATATACTTTATTTATTTCATATTTTAATTAATTACATATTTTTAATTATAGTTATAAATAATTATTGTTAAACGTTAGCACTGACTTTTTGAATTAAATGACATTCCTACATTTGTAAGTAAAAGAAGTAGTATTGAAATTGTTGTGTAGTATAATCCAAAAGTAATTTTTATAAAAAATATATATTATATAGAAATACGAGACTTAATTTACCTGTTTCATACAATAGACCACAATTAAAGAAATTCAATTAGTTGAGAAGGGACTTATATTTGAAAAAAAGTCAATTTCTATATTTTAACACTAAAAACGACTTGTCATTATGGTTTTACGCGCGATCTTACGCTATTTGATCAATAACGAAAAGCTGATAGAGCGAATGGCAGAGAGCTATCCCATACGTCGTACGGCTCAATTGGTTGTAGCACTCACCTACCGGTTAAAAAGGATTGCAAAAGATCAAGATCGACAGGATAAAGGCGTCAACCGTTTTAAGTACGTTAAGAACATTTATAAACTTAGTTATAATCACATTCAAATATTTCTAAATTGGTTTGTATTTAGTTATATTTTAGATATTATAAATTAATACAAAAGAGACATCTTTTAGCTATCAAATTGAGATCCCATTAATTTCATTCTGATTGAACTTTATCGCAAACAATCTTAAAATTTTTTTTTAAATAATATAAGATTTATGATATCTATATTACATATGCAAGTAATATAGACAATATTCTCAACACATCTGTATTAGCGTTTATAGCGCTCTCTATAATTCAGTAAACGTCGAGCTCATTACTGTCAATCTCGACTTAGGCACAGTACGGATAAAGAAACAGTGGATACAATCAATGTTAATTCCGAGGATTACAAAACCGAGAAGCCTGTCGTAAAGATAATTATCATATTATTGTGGAATGCAGTGGTATAATTCATATCAATTATCATCCGCCGATGCAATCGAACAATTTCGATTACTATGCAGTCTTAGTGAATTTCTAGGGAGATACGTATAGTTCATGAATTTTTTACAAATTGCTATCTAGTATACTTAGCCATCTTCCGTTTATATTATTTTTCCAAACCCCAGGAAATTATTTGTAGAAAAGAATTCAATTATTAGACATCGAATTATAACATAGGGATTTCTTTTAAAGAGTTGAACAATTCATATCATTCGGACGGTTTGGAAAAGTTAAAAAGTCCTTGCCTTAAATCTGTCGACACGAAAAGAGGAAGGTTGACAGGGTACTGGATGTTTAATTATCATATCAATAAAACTAAAAAATCACTGTAATGAAAAATGTAGATTAGAGCTTAAACATATGCAGTGAGCTTTTCCAGTAGTTATACATAAGTAGAAAAAATATCTAAGTAGACATATTGTATCAGATAAAGAAATAAGACTTGGAGAAGTGAGATCATTACTCTAATATATCGAAAAGGTTTATCTTGAAAAACTCTTTTAAGAAGAAGAATGAAGAACGCACAATAGATCTCTAGCATATAGTTCTAAATCTCTCAACATAGAAATAATCAAAAAAAAAAATTATGTAGCAAGAGATGGATATACTATACTATATTTTAGTAATTACTTATTGACTTTCCCTCATATTTTGAAACTCTAGCAATCTTAATTCACATATCACATATTCACATTTATCATAATTCTATTTCTTATATTTTTTACAATCACTAATCAAATATTCATATTCTCCACTTAATATCAACCAAAGATCATTACACAAATACCTTTATATATTTCTTCTATTTAACTACTTATTTAGTTCAGTTATGTTCTTAAACCATTTTATAATTTTTTTAGATCCATTATTAAGTACTTTAAAGGCAGATTTCAAAATAAAATTAAGAATGACAAACAAAAGAAGAAGCAATAAACTCCGAAAAGTTTTGAAGAAATCCAATTTTTCATATCAACAAAATATATTTATATACTAAAAACTAGTCAAATAATTTTTAAAACTTAATAAATAAAATTAATAACAATATCAATTCATTACCCTTTATGTACAATATTTGTGTATTTTTAATAAATATTTTATAGAAAACTATATTAGGAGATACACCTAATCCTCTTATATCTCCAAATTTTTGGAGATTCTATTTTCCTAGCCGCTGTGGTTTTCTAAAATGCTTGAAACTTGTCGATCGAATCAATTTACGTAGCATGATTCTAAATTCTCACTACGTTATATGTCTATATAGCTCAGTTCTCCACGACTTGCATTTAAAAAATACGAGATTGGTTATTTACTGCGACGACAAATGACTTATAGACTGACCTTATGGCTTTGGTACAGTACCAAAGTAATTTTAGGTTTCAGCAAATCTGTAATTTGAACGCTTATCACAATGTCCCGTTAAATTGTACTGTTTGAATTGAACTGTGACACTGTACCGATAGTTCAATACATTAATACGTATTGTGAAAAGCGATCTGTATAGAAGTTACCAGGATGAGAAAGAGGTAGAGTTCAACAATCACATTCTATGACTTTGGCTATGGGTGGTGCGAAGATCGTTACTTCACTGACATAACATGAATAGCAAACTTATCGAATCTTCTTAACTTTGCCTTGAAAACCATATAGTTTATCAAGAAGTATTATTTTTTATTTAAATACGTGTTTGCTTTACTACGATATTGTAAAAAAGATAATGTAATGTGTCAACTCTCCTTGTCAAAAAAGTGATAAGTTTTTATAATTTTTGTGTCAAAAATAATGTTATATTCTAATAATATTCTAGCGTGATGCTTTGTAGAATTAGGAAAAAGATACTTTTCTATAATACTTATATACATAAAAATGTGATTCAAAAGCATTGTCTTTAAAAAAGAGTACTTTGCCTAAGACATACATTATCTAGTTCTGTTGTACGTTAATTTCGTTTTGGAAATCATACAGCAAATCTAGAAAATGTCGGAATAATGGATAAAGAAAAATCTTACAATATTAGATTAACACTGAAGAACGTCCACAACAACAGAGCTTTAAATTAAAAAGAGGACATCAGCACCAGTTATTATTCCTGCCCTTGTAAAGTAATCAGTATGTAACAATATATTTGGAGTTATTAATTAATAAATAATATGATATAAAATAAAATAAACGATTTTTAAATAGGTTTATATAAATATATTCATGGACTAAATGATTCTGAAAAAATCATCATTTTGCATTTCGAATTGTTTTTAGAAATGCCATTAAACATTATTTTCTCATGGAACCTAATGGACATCACTGAATAAGCAGGACTTATAAATGCATATGTTATTAAAAAAAAATGTAGGATATAGTGCTAACTAATCTCACAGCAGTCACTAGCCGTACGGGGCGGTATGCAGATCCTAGATTAGATCTTAAATTAGGCAAAGAGAAGGGATGGACTCTGTAGAAACCCCCCAGTTAAGACAGAGTAAAATTGCCCAGTAGCACCTAACTCGGAAAAACCTCAACATAAGACCATTTATTAAGCACTTTAAACAATTACAGAACATTAAAATTGTAGTCAGTTTTTTTATATGAATTTACCAGAACATAAAAGATATCCCCATATTGTATTTAAGAGTACTGAAACACATACCACAATTTGTTTCTTACAGATGCAGAATTAATTATTTTTTTGTATATAAATTTTGTAATTCTTATATCAATTGTAAATTATTTTAAAAATATTTTGGACCTTATGTTAATTTAACTATTTTTGATGATTTTTTTTTATTTATATTGGTTAAGGCTTATTCGAGCAATTTAAAAATATATATAAAAACCTTAGTATACATTCATTTTTATATATTCTTGACATCACTATTATTAATTACAGCAAAAGTAGAAAATTAAGCCATATGTGTATGATAAAGTATTCTGTGCAATAATAGGTAAAAATTCGACATTATGTTCAAATTAATGTTGGTAATATAAAACAGCAGTGAACCACCCAACCACCGAATTAGCCAATCCATTAAAGAGACTCGTATGTTGGATACAGATTATAGTCCGTAACGTATACCCAAAATCGCCTGCAACCAAGTTAAGCAATCACATTCAGTACGAATTTCTTTCGACATCAGTAATTAACCTCACCTTTTCACAGTCATTTGTCAACTAAATTGTTATTCATTAAATTCCGTCCATTAATTTCATTACAATCGATTTACATACAGCACATACTCGTACTCTTAATTATTTGGAAATTAGATAATTTAATCCTATTATAGAGCAATAAATGCAGACAAGGAACAGAAAATGAAACCCTGATGGCTTAACTAGTTAAAATAATAAAAATACCCGAAATCCTTTTTTTTTAATCCGTATTATGAACACTGAATGAATTAAATACGTAAATTAAATTAATTATATTCCTCAAATTCTAAAAACAATAAAATTTCAGAACTCGTGAAGCAATTAACTTTGACTTAACTTTACAATGTTGACTTAAATTATGCTTAAGTATTGTTTAAGTAAGCTTAAGCATCGTATTTGTCACAATAAAGTGTGTCCGCTTTTCCAATTTCGTAAGTAAAATATGGACTTATATCATGTTTTCACTGCAACTAAAACTACTTATTTGATGAAATCAAGATTTGGCGTTCCCATTAGCATAAGCTAATTTATGCATGTGAAATTGTTTGCTCGCTCATATTTTACATATAAAACAAATGACAAATATTTCAAGTTTTGGTTATTTTCCTTGTGGGATATTTATTTTGCACTCAAATTTTTCGCCCTAAATCAATTGATTTCTTTATAATGAGTTCATTTATATGAAAGCTCCTTATATGGTAAATCCTCATTCTCATTAGTGACCGTAACATGCAAAACTGCTTAAATGCGACAGTAGAAACATGGTATAACACAATAGTATAACGTAGGTTAGGTTAGGTTACTGGGGCCGTCCGAAGATTCACTTAGACCATAAGATCTATTGTGACACCCTAAAGAATTTGACACCTGTGCCTATAAACGGTTGGTACTGGCCGAAAAGCCATTAACACGAGCTATGGAAATGGAATCTAGCTCTATTAGTAAATTGAAAAAGTGTGACCCTAAGTAGGAGAGTCTGTCTTGCGAAAGCAGGACACTGTAGAAGAAGGTGTATTGGTGATTCCTCTTCATCATCCTCCATGGAATGTCTACAATGTAAGGAGGTCCTGATGTTGAGCCTCAAGGCATGTCCTCCCAACAAGCAGTGCCCCGTAATAATTTCTACTATCTTCGATAAATTTGCTCGGAATAGGTTAATTAATTCCCCCGATCTTTTCTTACTAATTTTTGGTCAAGATTCCTTGGTTTTTATGCAGTTGGTTACTGTTGACCATCTTCTTTCAAACATTTGGTATGTTCATAATTTTATTCAGTGCCGACAAGAAGCAATTGGTATAACCACACTCTCTTTTCCCAGAAGAATTTGTGCTGTCGTACCATGTCTTGCTAATTCATCTGCTATACAGTTGCCTTGGATATCCCTATGTCCAGGGACCAAATAATTCGTATCCGAAAATACTCATAACAGTTCTCATGATAGCCAAAAAATTGTATAAATATTGCAACCAACGATTAATTGATCGTGAATACATTGTATAAACTAAATTGATACATTGATAGATAATTTGAAAATATTTAGGTACATTATGCATATGATATGTTGTCTAATAATAGAGTGCTGTTTTCCTTATGAGTTTTTGTAGACTTATTTATATTTCTTTGAAGTATTTGTTGGAATGTATAAATGTTTGCTATATAAATCTTATGTATGGTATAGTGCTGATAATACCAGTATTACTGCTTATTCTCCTTGGTGATGGAATTTGTCACTTATTCTGACCCTGAACATTCTGTTTTCTCAAAAGGTTCAAGTGATCTTAAATAGTATTGTTAGCAACCTCTAATACTTCATTTTACGAAATTATTAAACCAACTTAGCAAACATCATCTGAAATTTTAAAGATATAAAATAACACTAAGTCAATTGATTATCGTTATTTTAGTACGTTTCCAATACTTTGACTAGTTGAAATTCAGTTAAATGAGTCTTTTTTTTTCTTTCATTATATTCTGTATTTTTTTAAAGTACATATTCGTTTTCCGATTAATATCCTGATAACTGAAATTACATCTATTAGCCCCCATATTGTGAGTATTTGAGGTTTTTCGGAGTACCATTGCTAGTATACAAAACTTTGAAAATCTTCTAAATTTCACCACCGCGGTTCATGTAAAAATTTTCAACTTTGAGGCCCAATAACTCAAAAACTAAACTATAAAGTTGCATGGAGTAATGGAATTCTAGAGATTACGCTTGACCAATTTTGTAAACAATTCAATAGTTATTAAATTTTATCAATACTTGCTTTACATACAAAAAACTCAAAATCTTCATAAATGAGCTCAATTAATATCACATCAAAGCTGTAAGAGCGGCCTGGTCTACATTCCAAAGCCACTCGTCGCTCAGAGTCCCCAATAAGGTATATAAAATCTCCTTGAGCTACAATCCTTGGGCCACAACAACAACAACAACACATCAAAGATATTGACTCTAAGAACAGCCAAGAGTCTACGTCCCGGAGCGACTCGTCGACAACTCCCAAAAGGACTTCACAAATAGGTCCCAGCGTGTTACAATAACAACAACAAAAAGGAGATTGACATTTCCATCATCTGAAAAACTGTTATATAAAATTTTACACAAATCAATTTTTAATTAATAAAAAAAATATGAAAACAAATTTTAATTTATTTTTAAATTTTATTTATAATTTATTTCCATTTCGGTATAATTTCTAGTTTGTTCAATTTACTTTTTATTACTAATAGCATTTTTTTAATGTATTTTAAAAAATTCTCGTATGAAATAAGTAGAAAAAAGATATAACTACATTTTTTATTTATTTTAATATTATAATATAAGAGATTTTATTTTAATGTATCTTATTCTTTCGACAAAATTCTAAACAAACTAAAAATAAATAAATAAAAATTTCAAATTTGATCTGTCGACTGGTATAGCGTATACCATATAATATATTCTGCTTATAGATTAAACCAATATTTTTACATTATAAATATTTTGTTTTGTTTAAATAATTTAAATATAATATGAAAAAAAAAAAATCATTAATAAAACTAATATTAACTAAAAACTGTACAAATTTATATATATATATATATATATGTACATATATATATAAGTAAATTGTTTTTAATATATTTTCAAATTAATAATTATCCATTAAATTATTATGAAATTATCATTATATAACAAATGACTATGTATGATTGGTTGTGAACACAGTAAATTATGAGAAAAGTTTTTAATTTTAATAACAAATTTTAAAAATAAAATAAATCTATATTTGAGTATTTTTGTCTTTGTTTTTGTTTTTGTTTTTGTTTTTTTTAGTTGTTAATTGATTATAAATTTATAAAGTTTTCTTGTTTAATCAGTTTTTAAACAAATTGAAACGAAATTAAAATACATTAAGCAGATTAAGACATCACCTCGGCTGCTCACTGCTCATTGTTCACAAATTTAAAACCGAACTGAACTGTACCGTATCTTATATCTTTTATTTAAATCCATTGAAATTATACAGATTTTAATTTTTGCATATGGAAGATAAGCTTCGTGCCGAGTAGTTTAGTCATAGGTAATGCTGAAATGCATGTACATTCACACATGACCACATACTAACGTGAACAGATATTCATAAATCATATAAGTATTACATATATAAAAACATTTATGTACAAGTACAATATATGTTTCTATATAGATTTGAACAGGAAAAAATCAGTGTTGATGTATTTCAGATGATTTCTTTATACCATAAATATCATTTATCATTTGATCATATACCACATCATTTACTTTCTGAATGAGAGAATATGAACTGTCACTATTATTGCGTTTTTTGCTAAGCATTTTTCTTTTATTGTAAAATGATATTATGTCTTTATGTCTTTATGTAATTTTTGTAATAGATAATCTTGTTATTAATTTAAAGATTAAATATACTTATCTTATAAACACACATTTATAATTTTATATTTCATATCATTTTGCAAGTGGATTATTAGAGTTAATAAAAAAGCATGTAAATCTTTAAATTTGCGATTTCATTTATCAATTCTACGTTACGTTACGTTACATTTTATAAAAATTACAAAATATGAAATTTTATTGTTACATGAAATGTTTATTTTATGAAAAAAAATTTGTTTTTTAATAAAAAATTGCCTTTGAAAACCATTAAAGCAGATATTTCAAAATAAAGTTAATTATATACAGTTGCAAAGTTTTACAAAAAAATAAAAATAAAAATAATTTTTAAAAAAATTTTCAAAATAATTAAATTAATTCATTTAATTTAATTGAGAGAAAAGAAAAAAATAAATAAATTGCTTGAAAGCAACACATCTATGAATTTTTTTCTATGAATTTAATTTCGAGTGATTTAATTTAATTATTATTATAATTTTTTTTTTTTGTTTTGTTAATATCAAAAAAACATCATTGTCGTTTAATGTTTAATATTTTAAATTAAATATAAAAAATATACATTTATAATATTTATGTTTTTAAATTAAGTATATATATAAATTTGTTTTCACAAATATTAAACTTTTGAACGATTATATGATTTCGAGGATTTGTATTATATGTAGTTAAAGCATTTTTATTTACTTTCGGTATTTAATTTGTTATTTAAAAACATTATTCATTTACTCATATTTACGAAGGAGAATTAAAAAGCTGTGATTGAAAAGCTAAACTATAATAAATATATATATATATATATATATATATATATATATATTTTAACAAAATACAATTAATATGTATTCAAGTAATTTTTTATTTAATTTCATACTTATTCACTAATATATTACTCACATTAAATATATATTTATATATAAATTAATTTAAATGCTTTAATTTTTAATGTGGTCATGTTTTTAAGCCTTTTGGATTTTTCATTTCACATCTTTTCCTAAGAATATCAATATTTCGCACTAATTTGTAATTTGACAAGATCGAACATATGTTCCAGTCAGCGTCTGTCCATCAGTTCGTTTACTCAACTGCCCTTATTATTTTATAATTTAATATATATATATATATATATATTGTTTTTATATTAATATCGTAGTTATGATAATATTAGCGTTTTTTTTTTATTTAATAATTTAATTTAATTTTTTATTTTACTTTATTTTTTAGTTAAGCATTTTGGTGCTTACGTGCCATTTGCCTTTGGTAACGATCGGACAAGATACAATTTTTCGCCCTGTTTATTTGTGTAAATGGGTGCTCTTTGGTAGTGATCCACTAGCTGATCCAACGTATGAAATTTACGTTGCCCGATACAATACATATTATTTTCGACATGGACGCGAAAATGTTTGTTTCGACCAGGTGCTTTAAGAGAAACCGAATAATCACCCATCTGCAAAAAAAAAAAAATAATATAAAAATATTAATTTAATTATAAATAAGTCAATAATAATAATGAGTCAAATTTGGCAAGACACGATTTTAACCCTGAGTACTTGCAGACTCAAAAAAATTTATTTACAAATAATAAAATCTAAGAAATGATTCTAAGACCATTAATCATGGGTAAAATCAAAAAAATATAAAAAGAATTTTCGTTGTTACAGTTTACTACTATTCGTAACCTCTGTAATGATCGATCAAACAAATAATGTCTAATTAATGAAACTAATGTGATTATAAAATATTCCATTCAGTTCGAGCTACAGAATACACTAAACAAAAACACATATCATAACCAAATCCTCGATAAACATACTCATTGAAGAACTTCTAAGGGGACAACGTTTTCCTAGCAGATAAGCTATGCTTAGCCCATAAGCAGTATATCAATTGTGATACTACAGAAAAGCCTTAACGAAGTGAATATTTAAATTAACTACACTCTAACCATTTGCAAACAATCTGAAACCTAATTGTATTTCTTGGACTCTGCTAAATTTGAACTCTACGAAATTTAGTAAGCAGCCAATGAAGTAATGCTTTTTCTATCACTAATGAAAGTATTACTTTCTCTGGCTCAGTCTAGTGATTTTAGATTAACCCTTTTAGACAAAACACACGACTACCATGCTAGATAGCAGCATAAAAGAATTATTCTCACTACAGCCGTATAAATACGACAGGTTATACAAGGATAAAGACCCTATTTGCGTCGCACAAATTTACAGCTATAGAAAACATATAGCTGTACAAACATATAACTACTAAACCCTTTTTAAATCAAATTAAAATCTTGGATATGTCCCAGACATTTGTAACAGCTTAAGTTGGATATTGTCTAATTTTTAGAGTGTAAAGAACAACATTATGAATTTATTAGTGTTAAATTATTTAGTTTTGTTTTTGACTAATCTGTAGCCTATAGTCTATACTTCATTGTAAAAGATATTTAAATGAATATTTAAATATTTAAATTCAATCATTCTTCAATTCAATATATTAACGACTAAAGATAGTGATTTGTATATCAAAACAGGGCGGGACTACGTCTCAAAAACACTGCACGAATTCGACAACCAAGTGCCGCTCAGCACTCCCAAAAGGTACTACACGAACAGATCCTTGTGGGTTACAACAACAATAACAGTGATACATTATCAGAATAAACTGTTATGAAAATTTCAATGCCAAGAGTGTGCTATTAACAAAAATTATAAAACGTATTTAAGAAAGAATTAAATAAAATAGAATTAAATCATTAACAACTACTTCAACTACTACTTTTAATTCTAATACTACAACAACTAATCCTAATACTATTATTACTTATAACTATTTTATATATTTTATTTTTTTACTTACATTAGTCTCGCTGTCTCGAATAAGAAAATCGCCATCGTGACCATGTTGATTCAGCACAGTATCACATTGGCTACGTGTTATAGCACCATAATACCAAGATTTTCCAGCTAAATTTGGTCGTTCCATTGGCGGCATAGGTGGTGATGATTGTGGTGCCATACCATCGTTGCGTCTATCGATTGAATCACCCCCACTACTTCCACCCCCACCATTGCCATTGCCACCACCATTATTACGATATGGAGTAGCTAAATAATCGTTTAACTCTTGTAAATAATTGCGTGGAACTAAACCGACTTGTCCTTGATTATTGCGTGCTTTATACCAATCTGGATCTGAGGCTGGACGATCAACGATTTCGAGGCGATCACCTTTTTCAAATGAAAGTTCCTGATCGTTATTTGATGAAAAACTATATAAAGCAACCTAAAATTATAAAACGATTTATACATTACATACAATTGTTTATTAAATCAGAACTAATCAGAACTTACCACAATATCAAGTACATTTTCTGCCATAGCATACGTATGTATCTCACCATCGTTATCACAATCCTCTGTTGTGTAATTACTTGGAAACCAACCGACTGCATTTCCACTTTGTCCACGCCACCAACCATCGTTCGATTTTTCCAGTATTAAAATTCGTGTACCTTTGGTGAGCGAAAGTTCATCAGCTTGTTGCGCTTGATAATTGTATTTGACGATTGCTGTGCCAATGGCTTCAGATGGATCAGGAGGAAGACGCCGCGACATTGTTGGGCTTTCAATTTGTCGTGATGGTGAGCAATTAGGCAAAGTCTTAGAACCAGAACCCTTTTTCACCTTTTTCTTTATGCTAAATAAATAGATTTACGAAGATATAAAAAAATATTATACTTTATTATTTGGTTTTATTCAAAATATATATATATATTTAACTAATACATTTGCCTAACTGCAATTTAATTATTCTCACTCAATCTTTGTTTTATATTTTAAACATAATCTTAAGATTTATATAATATTAATGATTTGTTATTCACTAAATAATAAGTTTAAGGGAGATTATAGAAATATTACAAATAATTTATGGACAAAATTATGCAAAATTGTAAAAATATTATGCATGACTGGGTAATATTAAAAATATAAGACATTGCGATATTAGAACTTGCATTTCTGGTAGACGATAAGACTATCTAATGGAAAAAGTAATTGTGGGTAATAATATAAAACTAAAAACTATATTCATATTTTTTTCTAAAATAAAAACATTAAATTAAAAGAATTTAATATGTACAGTGAAAGCTGTATTTAACAGACGCTTTCATAAACAAGTATGTCTCTTAATCGTGCAATGTTGCTTGCTCCCAATTTTTTTAAGAGGATAGGATAAAAGATAAAAAACTGTATTTCTGGGATCAAACTGTATTTCAGAATGATAAAATTTTTGTAAAAACTAAAAATGCCATAGATCGACATTTTCTGTTATAACATAAGTAATTTCAACTACATACATAATCTTAAACCGAAGTCATGATAAGAAAAGAGTTAAATAATATTTTTCTGAGCTTAAACTAGATAACTAGTAAAACCAATTTTTTTTAGATATTGATATCGTATAGATTTGTTTCACATCAAGAATTTATTAACATCGTTAATGACTATCATCTATCTATAGTATTCTTAATATCTACTGACAAACTTCTAGATCATCTAATTTAACTATATACATCAGTGCAATTCAATTTGAAAAATTCACCAAATCTGTTAATACCATTTTTGATTTTAAAATCTAAAATTTGCACTCCAACTGTCACTTTTTTTTTTTATTTTTGTTTTAATTTTTGAGTCGTTACTTCGAAAATGTTTAAATGCGGTTATTTTTGTTTTTTAAAATATACTAACTTTTATTTCGAAAGTTTTTTTTTTTTTTTTTTTTTTTTTTTTTGTGTATCTCTACACGTGTTTCGGCAAATTCGCTTTTGCCTTCATCAGAAGAGTTCCTAGTTCCTAATCACTTTTTGCTCTAATTTTATGACTCGTTCGATATTGGACACCAAAATAATTCATAATATATTTATATTAATACAAAATGTTATACGCGTATGGATAATGGATGATCATATATTATCTACATTCTTAAAGTATATGACTATTATGCTAAATAAGCAACTATTTATTTACAATAATTGATCAAATTGTTATAAAACTTCTTGTATTCATATAACATAAATCAGTTATTAATTTTAGAGCAATTTTGTTACTCTGACAAAATATCTAGAGTGTTTGAGGATCACTAGTGTTATTCATTTCACTCGAGATTTAACAATCAAAAATAAAAATGGCACTAAAAAATACTCTAAATTTACCATTTATGATTTACCAACATAAATCAGTTATTAATTTTAGAGCAATTTTGTTACTCTGACAAAATATCTAGAGTGTTTTAGGATCACTAGTGTTATCAATTTCACTCGAGATTTAACAATCAAAAATAAAAATAGCACTAAAAAATACTCTAAATTTACCACTTATGATTTATCAACATAAATCAGTTATTAATTTTAAAGCAATTTTGTTACTCTGACAAAATATCTAGAGTGTTTTAGGATCACTAGTGTTATTCATTTCACTCGAGATTTAACAATCAAAAATAAAAATGGCGCTAAAAAATACTCTAAATTTAACATTTAAAAAAGATTAGGGTTTTGAAATTCGGTGGTCATAAAAAAATATATTAAAAACAGAAATCTTTAATTTCTTTTTTATAAAGTCACCATGCATTTCTTATAGTTCAAAAAAAAAATGTACAAGTAGCCCAAAGGAGAAGGATTATAGTATGTATATTAAAAACTTCATAAGTATAATGTAATTAAAAAAATATTTTATATTTTCAAAAGCAAGTGGAAAGTTGGATATTGACTGCATACACGTTGACTCTTCTTATTTAAGGGAACTACATAAATAAAAATATGTATATTATTTTTGTCAATAGTAATGACACAATGACATTTGAATATAATACAACGTGAACACAAGGTATTATAAAGGCACAGTGTGGTATTTGAAAGTTTATCTACAACTATCAATGTTTTTAAATAAATAGTTTTAACTAGCAATATTAGCTCGTAAACATAAATAATATTCCCTCATGAATCAAAGCAATTAAATCGAAATTTATATACCAAATTCTATTACAAAATTAAAAACTATCAAAAACTTATCAAATGTAATGAATATTTTAGAAAGTATCTTAATCGAAATGGTTTAATGATAACCAAAACAATGTAGTTTAAATTCGCAATTCAATAGAAATTGAATATAGTGAAAAACTCCCAATGTACAATATGAATTGTGGGTTAAGTTATAATAGTGATCCTCAGGACCCACCCAAATCTTCTGGTCCTTTGCCACCTTTTTTCCTACCATAAAAAACTCGGTACTGTTAATAAAACCTAAGATGTCATCAAGTCCTTGCTATTTTTAATCTATGTGGCACATAATGTGAATAGTAATAAAGTTGATATGAAAAAAAATCCTTAACTCAAAATTAGTATACATGTATAAATAATAAAAAACAAATAACTTAATAAAATTTTAAGATTTAATTCTTAATGGATGGAATACAGTTCATGTTTTGGTTAATCATACTAAATATACTTAGCATATATTCACGCTTTATTTATTATAATAAGTTATTCATTCCATGGTCCTGATTTAGCAACACTTATTCAATGATTAATATTAAACAGATTTCTCATTCAAGGTTTAACATATTTAGGACACTTGACGATATGGATTTTCTTACGACCACTAAATATGTTGAAATTATGAGAATTTACTACAAAAATTATGGCAATCTTTCTCTTTGGGGGATGCACCTATTCATATTCTAAACCATACATTCATCTTGTAAATTCTTTTGTTATCTGTTTTCTAGATTCTAGCGGATTACAACAGCAACAACGTGAGATAAAGTTTATTTTTGTTTGAAAGACAGTGACAATGACAATCCACAAGTAATTGTCAAAAGAGTATTACATCTACAGCAAAAACTTCATGTATAGTGTGATATTTGAGCTGGAAGTATTATACACCCGCACTTTTTGGTGTGATACGAACCCTCAATTCTGATTATTATGACCATTATAGACACATGGTAACCAATTTTATTTGCGTAAATCAAACATAAGTTTGTGGAAGATATGGGAAGTCAGAAACACAATACCATTATATACACTATTTTGACTTTTGTTAGGCCAGAAATTTCCCGGACACGTTTTGGTGAACTGAATTGATTACAAAGATTAATGAACTTTTATTATGTGAAGCGATACAACGTATCGCCTTTATATGGACTATTATCTGCTACATGCCGACAAGTTATCAAAAACTATCTAGTACTATAGGATATAATCTGAAGAATCTGGAAATGATGCTGTATTTCATGCCTAATGGCAAAGTCCAAACAATAGATTAAATGTTTTAAATTATATTTGCTTTCCTAATCTAATCTTCAAAGAGAGAAATTTGTGGGAAAAATCAATTGTTCATTTGGAGAGGACATTTTTTTCAAATAGTCTTTAACAATCCATACAACTTTCTTATTAAAGTTTTTTGTATGGATTTTCTCTATACATATATAATTTAAAATTTAGTTACACTACATCATATACACATCAATCTTGATTCAATGATAAAATAATATCTGTTTAATATTTTGTTAAATATTAAATTTGCAACATAAAATTTAAAAAATTTAGCGAAAAGACTAATGAGCAAATTATACATTTTCGAGTAATTAAACTAATATATTAAAATAAAAGTAGCGTTCAAAAGCAAAACTTATATTAGATATAAAATATATTTATAAAAAAATTTGGCTTCCGCATTATGATGATATATATATATATATATATATGGTATTAATTTAAAAAAGTCAAACTCACCTATCGAATAACGAAGGTTTCTCTTTTTTAACGTAGTTACTGGGAACATAACCAGATTGATTTCGATTATTCTGTACTCGCCACCAATGTTTTGAGTCATCGAGTAATAAATATCTTTCATTTTTTCGCAAATCTAATTCTTGTGCGCCCTGGGCAGCATAATCATATTTGGCTACAACGTAGCAAACATCTTCTTGTGATTTTCCTAAAAAAAATAGTATGAATATTTGAAATGATTTCACATATAGAATTAATTAATTAATAATTATTAATTAAAATTATAGATAACAAACCGTGCTTCATGTTGCCCGCCATTGATTGTTGACCACAACTGGAATTACCACTACTGCTACCGCTATAATCACCACCAAAGCAATTCCCACCGCCGTTTGATGTTGTTACTTGACTAAAGGTCACACTTTTATGTTGGGCACTGCAACTGGATGCTGTTGACAAATTGCGATGATGTTGTTGTTGCTGATGCCGATGCTGGTGAGCTGGCGAACCTGGTACAATAGGATATTGATGAGAATAGTGTGATCCTACTACACCGCCACTATTAATGTGAACGTTATGCTGTTGCTGATGATGATGATGGCGTGGATGATGATGTTGCTGTGAAACTGGAACGTTACTCGTTGAAGAGGAATCGGGGATATTACGCGCAAATCGTTGGGGATATTCCAACATTCCAGAGCTCCTCTAAAAGCAAAAGAGGAGGCTTAGCGAGGTAGAGCAATGTACAACGATTTACTTTCAGTCAATGCAATATGTTCAAATTTTCTAATGTGTAAGTTGGATTTTACTGAGTTTTTACTGAGTTTTTACTGAGAACTCTGCAGCTCCTTCTGGTTAGTAGATATGAGAATTGATTTTAAGTAGCTTAACAGTAATTGCCAACGGAAAATCATTTCTATAAATAGATGCGTAATGCGAATATATGGAAAAGAAAAAGAAAATGATAATAAATCAAAATGGAAGCCATTAAGAAGCGCATAAAAAGCATATAGATTTTAAATTGAAATTTATTCAAATATTTAAATAAACATAAATATAATAAAAGGTGTTCGTTATTTCATACCAAGCAAAATTTTAAATTAATAATGTTAACATGAGCACTTTTGTAATAAAATATACATAATTTTATGCGATGTTAAAAAACGGTAAAAATATATTTAAAAAATAAACTAGAAATGTATTTCAAAATAAAGTTTCATTTTATTTGATTTTTTGTTTCTTTTTGTTTTTCAATTTTAATCAAGTTGTCATTTATGTCATTATTTAACAAACGACAATAGAGAAGCATCCTGCTAAACAAACATTTGTATCCATTTGATAGATAAACACATCAATTGCTAACCATTCACTGTCAGCTCAACGACCGAGTTCAATTTAGATGACCTGCCATTAAAGTTACTTAACCATCTCAACCATCTCTACCGTTTCAACCATCTCAACTATCTCAACTATAAACCACTCAGATTCAGTGTCCTACTTTTGGATTCTATGCAAATGACTTTTTCATTAAACTCGTAAAAGCAACAACTTTGATACCAGTAAGTTCTATTTACAATCAAGAAACTGCAATGACGAAACCAACGATTAATTAAAAGTCAAATTTAATAAAGCTTTAAGGATGGTTTTTTTATGTTACAAAATATATATACCATTTTAAAAAATATCTAACATACAACAATTTATAAAAGAAAATACTCGTATAAAACTATTCTTAATTCCAAATCCAATACCTAAATATAATTTCCGGGGTTGAAAATCGAAAATCTACAAACATATATAGACGTTGAGCAAAATTAGGACAGGTTAAACAAAACTCAACTTGAAATGAATTTGCTAAGGGTTGAAATCTGAAGCGATATCGTTATTTGTTGATAAAGATGACTAGCTTCTTCCCATATACAAAAAAAAGGGCTGTTTAATAAGTCCTTAATAAGTAAATTGAATATGTTTCAAAATATTTTTGTTTTAAATCTGGCAGTTTTTAATAAATTTAGCCAATGTTGGAGATATAAATCCAATACAGAAGCTTCTTTTAGCAAGTACTTCAATAAGAACTTCAATTTTTGGTGAATTTGCAAAAATGGAAAAAAAAGAATCCTGTGAGAATGTACAAAATTGTAAAACAAAATTATTTTTTAAATAGTAAAAATAGAACTTTACCAAGTAATATAAGGAAACTACATTATCATATAGAATAATTCGAAATTGTTTTAACGAGTTTTATCATGTTCCTCTTCAAAAGAATTACGTCCAGATTTGTTTTTAGGAGCTACAAAATATTGCCAATTTAATCTATGGCATGTTATTAGTCCCAGTTCAGTTACATCAATTCCAAGTATCAATAAGTACTGCCGTTCTTCGGGGAATAACTTTAAATGACTTTCACCAAGTATGGCATCTTACGGATTTTAAGTAATTTTAAGTAATACTTCCAAGTAGTATTTGGAAATATTGAAAAATAATACTAAATAATTTTGTATTTGATTTCAAAAATAAAAACACAAAAACAGAAGATTTTTCATCAAGAATATACTCCACAAAAAACACCAAAGACAAGTGCATCAACGGACAAGGTTGTAGATTATAGTTTTTGGGTGGATATGACAGAATTATGAGTGACTTCGACTAAACCGAAACAAGTAAAATGATTTGAGCGTCACTATTCATCGGTTTTGACGGTTTTGTTTCGTCTTGACAACGGACCAATTCATTTACAACTGCAATAGCAAAATAAGTCGATTTATACTATATGATAATACCACATTTATTATAAACACTAAATTTAATACCATCTGATTTTCATTTATTTTTAAATTTAATAAAATGACTTGGTGGGAAGAATTGTAAATAAAATCGCAAAGTAATCTATCTCAGCAGGTTATGAATATTTTGAGGCATTCAAAGTATTCTATTTTTCATCTATCTATATATCTATAGTAATCTATCTCTGTAGAGTATGAATATTTTGAGGCACTCGAAGTATTCTATTTTTTATCTATCTATATATCTATAGTAATCTATCTCTGTAGAGTATGAAATGTTGAGGCACTCGAAGTATTCTATTTTTTATCTATCTAACTATAGTAATCTATATGAAAGCAGATGATGATAGTTTAAAGCACACTAAGTATTCTATTTTTCAGAACATATAAAAAAATTGGTATACCTTTGTGGAAAATATTTAGCACTAAAAGACTATTATATCGAAAAATAAATTGAAAATTCAACAAAAATTCAACTCTTTTTTGTGACTGATTTATCAAACAGCCAACGTATATTATAAATATTTCATAGGATCAAAAAATTCAGAGCCATAATAAGAAATTTAATGAAATTAAAATAATAATGTATAAAGAAAGTGATTTTTAGAATTTAAGCTGGAAAGGAGATTGTAATTAATAAAGCTTTTGCATGAAAAATGAAGAGACCAAACGATGAAACTACGGCATGTAAACCAGATATAAGTATATAATAATAACAATGTTATTGGAATTTTTCAATCTTTGTCTTGACTTGCAAAAATTAGTCTGAACTTTATAAAAACATCTGTCTGCAATGAAAATTCATGAGAAAATGTACATTATTACTTTGTTATCAAATATATTGTACAATGCAATATTTTGTTGGGTATGAAAACATTCTATAATAGAAATAACGAAATTTTATACTATAGAATGTATTTAATTTCAAAATTTCATGTGAAGATCTTTTAAATACATAAGGTTTTTCATTGTAAACGTGAATAAAACAGATTTATCTATATAAATATGATCCTTTGCGCTACCTCACAAAAAAAAAAAACTCGATAGTCATAGATCGGTGGCCACAGTCTGACATGTCTGGGTGACAGTTCTATTTGATATATGAAACTGAAACAGTGCTGCCAAAACAGAATTACGAAAAGGATAACTCTTTGTAAACATTCACTTATCAACAACTTTCATCTGTACATCCTTTTGTCTGACTATGCTTTTATATTTAATTATTATTTATTTTTTAACAAATTATTCTTATGACTAGTGTCTTCTAGTTAGTTGAAGTGGAGGGAGAAAAGTCGTTTTGTATCCACAATTCCTTATAATAGTGGGTAGTGGGTAAAAGAAGGTTGAACTACAACCATCCAGAGGCATTTATAAAGGCGAGAGTCTAGCTAATGCTAATACTGAAGATATTGCTGAATTTGTTAAAGAAGAATCCTAAGCCTAGTTCTGATCAGGCCTGGACATAGGCACAACAGGTGTTCTGGTGTCCTTTCTTCGAGAGTTGATAGACAAGCATTGCATAAGATACCACAGAAAGACAGAAGACAGAAATTAAAATAGATACCTCTGATTTGCTTCTATGTAAAAAGTCAGAGAGAGGTACTGCATTTGGAATAGATTAGCCATGTACCCCTTGACCTAACTGCTAAGATAGTATGGACCCAGTAGTGTCTTCTATTTGTACAGAATATTTTTATAATCTAAACCAGAAGATACCAACTAATGGTGTGTGAGATGGTTAAAAATGGTTCGCGAATCAAATTTAACAGGTATGGACACTTAGCTTGTAGTTTGTCTATTGAGTAATTATATACTTATTTTATAGTTTATACAATGTACGTATGGACTTATACAATTCATTATGCATTATGCATAAAGCATATTAAAATAATTATAAAATAGTTATAAATAATTATAAAATTATTATTTTACAATTACTATTTTTAGTCTTTCTGGTCTTTATTAAAAACAAGAATACCTTAGTGTTCCTTGGTCAAAAAAAGGTTGGGAACCACTGAAAAGTAAAATTTTAGAGTTCTGTTTTTTAAAAATTATCTTAAGTAAATTTTACAAATCACTAATTATTATTAATTGCAAATTTACTTATGAAACCTTTTCCTAATTTGCCAAAATTGCTTTTAAATAAGTTAACCTAATTTCATTTTTAAAAAATATTACATTTTCTTTCTATTTCAATAATTAAATTATATATTTCTTAAGCAACAATAAATTTAAAATATATTTTTTTAAAAGAAAATTAAATAAATCTTACTTTCGATCATATAACATTTTAACAGAGAATGCTTAAAGCATAATAATATACATTTACATACAATATTAGCAGATATACATAAGTATACATAATACATGAGTTATGAATCCATGAATATACAATTACTGCACTGTAAGAAGACAGCCATAGGTTCACTTCGACCTAACATATCTCATCCGAATATGCTTCGAAATAGAAAATACCAAATAAGCTAATAAAACATGATTCATGACTTTTATTTTCTTTCAGTAAAAGTACATATGAAGCAAAACAATTCACGTATCTGAAGTAATGATGGGAGCAATGTAACTATTTCATAGTTCGGCAGTAAACAGCATAAACCAACATAAAGCAAGTAACGTAATTTAGACAAACTCTTGGCAACATTGAAGATCGCTTTCAATGAGTGAAACCAGTGAAAGCTGGCACTCTTGTTTGAGATTTGCAATTACTAGTTGCGGCAGAAAGAAAATAATTTTTTAGCAAAACAAATCTAAAACTTAATTATAAACAAAATAATGTAGTAAGAATGATATACCATATCAAAACAACACTAATAATAAGGTTGCTCATCCATAAATATATTATTATAGATACATTAAATATATATATATATGGTCACCTAAATTCAGAACTGTATTCCTTGGTCCGAAAAACTGTTTTTACAGTTTTTCTATTTTCAATTTCACGAAAAATAAAGAATATCAAAGAAAAGTCTACCCAAAAACAGTTGACCCGAATAACTTAAAATCATGTGCAATGAATGCTCTCTTAAACAGACCTTAATGGTACCAGCAATTTTAATCAGTCAAGAGAGCTACCCGTTTAATATAAGATAGATTGTATGAAAAATAAAAATTA